TTAAATAGTTAAGTATAATAAATGATGTGTTACAGGAAAAGGCTAAAGAAGGGTTAAGGAAATATAGTACTGGCAACTATGCGAAAATTTCGACTCATGACATAAGGAATATATATTCCTTGTATCATGATCACAGAATCATGATTTCGACTGGCACGCCGGCGCAAAGCTGAACCATCATGGCGACCGTTGTTTTGTTTTGGAAATTGGTGAATTTCAGAGGGTGAAAAGTGGTGGAAATTCGTTCGAAAAATTAATAGGAAAAATGTTTTTTGTTACGAGATTTTCTATAAGGTGAGCATAGTCTATAAGGCAAAGCGGCAGTCTGAGTATCAGATCGCAAAGTCAAGAATTACCAAAATGAATATATGGCTGCAACTGTAATTTTTTACATAAAATGTCAAATATATCAAAAACTGTTAGACTTAAGCTTAGAATAGTGAGTAGTCCATAGATAAAGACGAGTATTCCTGTTATTCAACGATTTTAACGGTGTAACCTACTCTTCTAATCAATTCTACTACAAGGATCCAACACAATAATTTTTGTGTAAACACTAATCTGAAAACCAAAATTTGAATGCAGGCATGTTTAATTGTTTCTGTAATTTTGCAACGCAATTATTCGAAAACCTCACAACAAGAAGCAACAAAGTATTAACTAATGAAAGAGAATTGAACGCCCTTTAAAACGATTGTGTCACTTGACTCCCCTTCCTATTTAAGACTCTAAGGGTGACATCTACCGTAGGGGGTTGAAACAAGGAGGCTAAAGATGTTTGTTTAGAGTGTCCCCTTACAAATAAAATTGACTGGTCTTTCCGATTTTTCATATTTTCAACTGCAAGAAAGATATTAAGGCGGTGGGAAGTTTTCAAATTGACACCCTGTATGTAGATCTAAGTAATTACTTCATAATTGTTATTTTTGTAGACATTTTACAAGCAACGATACCGTAAATGAAGCTGAGATTAAACAAGTTCACAAGCTTCCCCATCCATGATGACGGTGAGACACGATGGCTGTCTTTGGGGCAAGTGGTATCAAGACTATTAGAGCAGTGGTCGGCTCAACAATTATTTTTCAATGAAAAATATCTTGACCAGCGTCTTTAGGCTACAGAACAAGTGTACAAAAGCCTGAGTATAAAGTTAATGCACTTATATCACTTAATGAAAATTAATTTAAGATCCTTGAACGAATTTTACAGAAGCTTTCCATGATCTTGAATCATTAGCGACTGAACTAGCTTAAATTCGAGACAAGCTCTGTGAAGAGGCAATAGAAAAAGCGAAGTCTCTTTGTGAAAAATGGGATATTGATACAACAATACGTGTAAATGCCCGGAGAATTGGCTGAAAATGTTGGTCTTTCCGCAGAAAGTGAAATTTCTCACGTTATGAAGAAGCGTTCTTGATCGTCTCCAACAAGAAATATGTTCACGATTAACACCATTAAGTGACCTTTATTTCAAAATAGGATTTCTCCTAAACGTTGAAACTTTATTGATTGATAACGAATTTTATAATACAGCTCTTCATGGATTATAACTCATTATCGAAATATGTGACTGATGCAAAATGTTAATACGCTTTGCTAGCTGCGAACGTTCATTCAGCAAATTAAAATTAATTTTGACAAATCTACGATCAACGATGGGACAAGGTAGCCTAAGTGATCTAGCATTTTGAAGTGTGGAAAGATAAAAAATTTAAATTATTAACTTTGATGATATTATTGACAAATTTGCTTTAACAAAAGCAAGGAAAATTTAGAAATGTTTTATTAATGTATTATAATCATATTATTATTAAATATATGTATCTCCTTAGAAGTAATAAATATTTGCTATTTACTGTTTTAAAACTGCGTGTTTTTTTAGACTAAAAAAAGTTCTAAAAACGTATATGTATTGTGCCTTGGGCGCGAGTTTATTTCCCTACGCCACTTTGTATCGGTAGCCTATTTGCGTATTTTAAAAATAATTTTCTGGGAACACGCTTTCTGTTTCTGTTTTGTTAATTTTTCGAATTGAAATTGTTTATTATGTATTGTGCTAAGCGACGGAAAATTATTTTTTTGAACTTCCTTTTCTGGGTTAGATAATAATTTTGCAAAATACAATTTATTCAAAGCAAAATTATGTTACAAAGCAAGTACCTACGTCGAATTTGAAACGGCACATGGAATGCAAATCCCACAATATCAATAAATTCTGAAGATTTTCGCGAAGAGTAGCTACCTATTTTGACTCAAATAAAGTTTTTTTCTGATTAAAAATTGTAATCAATTATAGCTTGTTCACAAAGAATTAAGATCTACTTTATTAAACGCTATTCGTTCTGTGTAAAACAATAGTTTTTTGTTCCTATTTTAATTTTTTTCCCGAATGTTTTTAGAACTTTTGGAGTACCTAGGTTTGCAAAATGGGTAGCCAATTGCTAGTTGCAGAGGCCGTTATTTTTTAGTGTCTATAAAATCATTTGTACTTTAAGTATAAAATAGTATTTGTTATATACCTAAATAAAGTTTTTTATTTTAAAAATACGATTTACAAATGTTCTAAAATTGTTTCTGCAAGTGACGCACCATTGCCCATCACCTTAAGACGCGGCTATATCACAAAAACGGCAACCGCAAGAGAAATCAGATTGACAGTTAAAAATAAATCACATTCACAGTTATAACAGTGATTTTAAAATCACGGTTTAGCTCATCTAGCCGATATTATAAACATCACACCGAAGGCTTCATTGCGCGAGCGCGAAATTTAATCGCTTAGCTTACCGTCGTGATTGGCACGCATTTTAAACCACTAGTCTTGTAAGTCTCTTTCTATGCCACTCGTCATATCATAGTGAGATAGTGAGTAGTCTGTGCCACTAGTAGTGAACTAGTAGTTGATAATCTGTCGTGTCTTATCGCAGGATTAAGATTATCTTATCGCGACGCCGCTGACGAACCATGCATTTTATGCATTCGATGCGCTAAGTTTAATATATTCTAAATGTAACAGAGGAAAAATAGTCAAGTTGGAGATAATGTATTAAACGATAATCTTGTAAATATTTGCCATGTTGAGTTCACCGTTTGCATAGACCCACTTTCCAGTGTTTAAAACTTTTCGATGTGTGCGATTCTGAACATTTTAATGACGTTGCAAGAGGTTTAAAACCACTGACCGGTCAGGATAAAAATCACATTGATTATTTCTTCACATACAACTATTATCATCAAACTTGAAATGTGATAACACAATTTCGAAGCTCAAAGTGCATAAAGTGGAGACCTAACCTTAACAGTTTGCAAGTATTGTGAAAAGTGGGGCTTTTTAGTTCGAATGTGCCATTGAATCCTGATGTTTAGTCAACGATTATTTCTTCAGGATTTAATTCCAGGTATGGGATATATGAATTTCATTGAAAAATAAGATAAAACATCAGTGTAGGTAGAATATTTTCTTTTTCACCGAAACTGTTTTGGATAGTCACGTGTCTCAATCAATTTGGAGATAACCACGCAATGCTCAGTCCCTTGATACAATGAATACAAGGTAGGATCTTGCGTCGATTTGCGTGACGTCAGTGGAAATCACTGCCTAGCGTGCTCTTTTCCTGTCTGCTAAATGTGATTAAATATAGCTTATTTAGTCTTTGTCACATTTAATTATTTTTTTAGAAATCCTCCTTATAATTACAAGATGCTTTGCAGCAGATTTTAGACTTGAAAATTAAAAGTAACGAAAATGTATTTATTTTGCAGACTAGCACAGTTGCCAGTTGTACAATAAAGTATAGCGTTAGCTGAAAATGTATCCTTGCAGTGGTACATTACGATTCACGAGACGGAAGTCCAAACAATGACCCAATGTTACTTTCCTATTATTTACGACGGAATATGCGTTTTGTGGTACCGTGGATGATATGTAAATTTTAATACAAATGAAATGACTGCACACCGCATTTTTTATATTTCTGAACCAACACTTAAAAGTAGCAAACAGTCTAGAGTACACTTTCCAACTACCAAAAGCAAAATGCTCAGTTTTGTCTACAAATTTCCCAAACATACCCAAACGCATTGTCCCCACGATACAATTTATCATTGTATGAACAGTGCATTCATTCATTGTGATACATTTAATTCATTATTTCGTTTGGCTCAACCCGATTTCTCAAATGACACTCTGGCACGCTAAAACGCTGAAAATCAGAGATTTTGTAAAGATTTATTTAGGGTATTTTTCTTCCCAATAAGCCTAAATCAGGTCCCAAACGCGACTTCCAAAGCATTGGGCTATGCAATGCTGCAAACCATATCCTCATATAACTTTTCATTTTTGAACTATTGCGTTTTGAATTCAGTGAAAATTCGTGTAGGTTACGTGCATTTTAAATGGGATCAGCTGTTCACTTTACCAAAGTGGTAACCAGCGACGTCATGTGCGAACGAAAATCGAGTTTTCGACCGATTAATATCCTACCTTGTATTCATTGTATCATGGTTCAGTCCTACTGCAGTCGGTGATCTCATACTACTAACTTCAGATTTATTTACTTTTGAGTTCATATTGCTGGACATAACCTAAATTTATTTTATTAAGTTTTATTTATGAAAACTTTGAGACGTTTTCCAACACTTTATCAACTTAGTAAGTAGTAACATTTAATTTGTTGATTCTTGGAAACCAACTTATCATTAGCTTTTTTGGATGTATTATATTTACTTATTACTTTATTTTCTTCAAAATTGTTCTTTTACATTTAAATAGTATTATATTATAATATAGCTAAGCTGCAATCTTTTCATTATAACGTGCAACAAAACGTAATTACTATCCACAGTCTTTCTATTCTTGTAATGGTACTTGTTAATATATTTTCACAAACTGTTTGTTGGGTATTTCGTCTGAAAAATTTTTGTCTTAAAAAACAGAATTTCCTCACGTCCTTTATTACAGATTGATAAACATTGCTGTTATCTCGAAATAAAAACGAATTCTTTATCAAAAGGTAATCAATAAGTTGATATTTATCGATGATAGGTGATCTGAAAGAGAGGGTATCTTACTTACACACAGGGTACACTTTAGAGTAGGCTCAAGCTGTAAGAGAAAGTTCCAATTAGTAGAGAAATTAATTTAAAAAAATTTACCCTGACGTTTCGATAGCTATTTTCTGTTATCGTTAACAAAAGAACCTAAATGAACCTAAAAAAGAGTATATTAATAAATTGTTTAACAATATTAAGAGAATACAAATATGTAAAAATTTGCTCTGTTCATTCGTTTTTACAAATTGTCAATTATTTGACTTTGACTTAAATCTCATTGTTCAAACCAATAAAGGTAATATTAATTAATAATTTTGGTATATGTTTCTTTGGTCTACTTCAGATTTTAGCATAGGTAACCATGTATGACTTAGATTAAATGAACATGAGGCCCTACAATTATTTTGATTTAGTCAAAGGAATGCGCTTTCTTTAATTTTTCGTTTTTTTGTAGATGGTTCTTTTATTAGAATTGTAGAATTATTACATTGAATTTTGTGGCAATTATCAAATGCATGTTGACAAATATGTGACCCTGTGATATTCTCTGTTTCTTATGTATGATTGGTGTTTTTTAATTCTTTTAGTTAATGATCTTGAGGTTTAATTACATTTTTTTATATTTCCAATTTAGTCATGAGGTTTTGTTACCGAAATTTTGCTTCTAATTATATTTTCAGTTTCGAAGATAGTCCGAATATTAATTTGTTTAACAACTACAGCAGAAAATTGAGATTATTTGATAGAACTAGATTTAATGAAATTCAAAAATTGCCAAAATATTTTTAGAATATACCCCTGGTAGTCCTTATATGTCCATGATACAATTATTTTTAAAAATCAAGCAGTTTAACTGCAATATTTTGTGTAGTAGTAAATAAACCTGTATAAACGAACAAATTTTAATGACATTTACGAGCCTGAACGGATATTCAAAAGCATCCAACATATTGTAGGTATTAGAAATGTTACGTCTAGATGCCTATCAACGAATAATGGCATCAAAACAGAAAAAGTTTTGGTTGTATCTAAACTATCCCGATTCGAATTTGAAAAGAAAAAGTTTAAAGACCTGACAAACAATCAGGTATTAGATACTTTAAGACAGAGGGGCACCGATATAGAAAAAATGATCAGATACCACGACCTACACAAGAAGTTTGAAGAGAACGTAGTGAATACGTTCGAGAATTTGGGAGTCAGCGTTAAAGTTGTGAATAGGTTGGTTGATAATTGATAACAAAATAATTATATTAGTGCAGTTTTAGTTCATTGGTGAAGAGATGAATAATCATATGTTGTAGATATTCATACACACCAGAGGATGTTGCAAATGCCGATGTCGTTATCCCTACAGGAGGCGATGGAACATTTCTCCTAGCAGCAAGTATGATAAATGATAATAAAAAGCCGGTCATAGGATTGAACTCAGATCCAAATAGATCAGAAGGATATTTATGTTTACCAAAACGATATTCTACAAATGTTAGAGATGCTGTTGAACGATTAAATAAGGTAAATTCGTGTTGTGCTCACTGTTCTTTTGCCTAATGCCGCCTCCGCTGCTTGGTTTATGTTGTTTAATAGGATGTCCCATGCGCGGTCCACTGTATATTGCTGGAGAATAGAATTTATTGCTGGAGAATTGAGAAAATAATCTATTTGTACAGATCCCGCGTGCTTTCTGTTTTTATTGACTCGATATTGAACTTTGTTGTCTGGTGGTCTTACCATGGCAATTATTCCCATTACTAAGTTATGGCAGGTCCGATGTTTGCCGATGTTAGTGAACTGATATTCTGTCTTAGCTCTGGTTTAATTTCTCTATTCGTTATTATATAGTCTATTGTGGACGTTAACCCTCTGGTGCCCTGAAACGTGACTTTGTGTTGGGCTTTGTGTTTAAAGTATGTGTTGTTAATCCTTAGTTCCTGGTAGGCGCAAAATTCCACAAGCTTCTCACCTCGCTCGTTCACTAACTCCTCATTAAATCGTAACTCCAGGTATTACCTCGTTCCCTACCCGTCCGTTCAAGTCGCGCATTATTATTCTGCCTTCTTGTTGCGGTATTCTTTCTATCAGCAGTTAGAATTCATAGAAATCGATGGTCTCCTGGACAGGCTTTCCAGTATCTGGTGCGTAAACGGACACTATATGGAGAGTGGGTTTCACATTCACAGTTACAACAGTGATTTCAAAATCACGGTTTAGCTCATCTCTAGTAGCAAGATTAATTAAATTAATTTCAGGGGGACTTTACATGGCTAATGAGGAGTCGCATCAGAACAACGTTATTGGTATGTGGAGAACAGAATTTGGTGCCCAAATATTTGCATGACAGTGAATTCGACTGTTTCCCTAGACAAACAGACGGAATTGCAAAAGAAAAAGTATCAAAAGTTTTGCCATGTTTAGCGCTAAACGAGGTAATGATTAGCTTTACCATTGTATTTATTCCAAACTGTTTTGAGTCGACTGTTTTTTTTCCTTTATTTTCTAGGTTTTTGTGGGTGAAACACTCTCGGCTAGAGTATCCCACTTACAAATGCGTCTAAATGGTTCTACTGAGAATACAAACTTAAAATGTTCGGGGATCTGCATTTCAACCGGTACAGGTTCAACATCCTGGCACTTAAGCATTAATCGATTGCCTGTTCAGAACGTAGCAGAACTGTTGAGACTTATTGATATTGATCCTACAGAAGGCAAAGATAGTTTGGCTACTGTGCTTTCTGATATTTACAACAAGAATTTAATCTTTAATGCAGGTAAGCATATTTAAGATTTATTATTTGGTATTTTATCAGACTAAACACCAAAGATTCGGATTTAGCCAAACACTCCTTAGTAAATATGGCTTATTTCTGTCATTCACAGCCCCGCTCAGTCTCTTTCACACAGAAATTGGATAATCTCTTGAATCTTTTTTTAAATTAATTGATTTTGGCCGTGTAGCATCGGCATGATGGAAAGTTTTGGGAGTAAAAACAAAGACGCACGACTGCTTTTCTTAAGAAAAATTGCTAATTTTAATGAGCGAAGTGGTTTATAAAAATATTAAATATTTTTTTAATGTATAATATTTGTTAGTATAATATTTTCTGTTTATATTTTAAAACATTTTTATCTAATTAAATAACAATTAATATCAAATATAGCACAGTGTATCAATTTCTTTTTACAAATTCAAAAGTTGTCGACAAAATTATACAAAAATAAATGTAAGCAAAATCAGAAATTAAGATTATTAAAAGTTTTTTTCAATAAATTTATTAGATTAGGTTGGTTCGTAGCTAATGGTTCTGCTTTTTATGACTTTCAGATGACCGACGCATGTCGTACACCATCAGAGAACTAATCTCAGCAGCAGTGTGGCCAGATCCGAAAGGTATCAAGCCAAGAGGATTTGCCAGGAAAATTGAAATTAAATCGAATTGCTTTGAAGCATCATTGGTAATCGATGGAGGCGTGTCTTTCTCATTTAATGATGGCACAACAGCTCTATTAGAAATTCGCCCGGAAGATGCCTTAAGAACAGTTGTTTTTTAAAATTAAATTGCTATAAACTAAGTATAACTGTTAAAGATATTCGATGATAGTGGATAGGTAATTGACTTAATATCAAATAATCTTATTCTTATTGTATATTCATTAAGGAAGCAAGCTTCAATTGAGACACTTTTTTAAAAGATACCTTTTCAAGGTATTAAATACCCTGCAGTATAAGTCTGATGTGTTTATCGCTAGTAAAAATAGCAATAATAGCTAAAAGTTTAGTTTTTTTGTGTTAAGTTCGTTTCAAAAAGTGTTTTGTGAAGCAGCAAAAGCGTGAGAGTTTTTATGTTTTCAAACATTTAAATTAATTTGCAAACGTTTAACCAAACTTGACTAAACAACACTGAAAATTAATTCTAAGCATTTTAAATCACACATTCATTCCCTGTGATGTAAGTCTTCATTCTCTGTGATGCCTTCAGTGACCCTAAATATCTAAATGAGAATAATAATAAAATGAGTCTAAATGGTAATTAACTGAATAAAATGCAATTTACTCAACGGTTAAATTTATGTCTTGTCTTTTATTACTATTTTTATGGATTTGTTTTCCTATAGTTCTTATGTCTGCTATTTCTTTAAATAATATTTTGGTGTTTACTTCAGTAAACAACTGTTGTGCAATGTATGTACTAAATATTTAGATGCTTTTTTATACGTTTATATTGTTTTATTTGTTGATCATGACCCAATTGATTTATTTTTATCGAATAATATAGGTATAATGTGTTCAGTAAGATCTTGATTGTGACGTCCGAGTACGTCGTTATGTACATAATTTTACTGTGACATTGCCTTTGTTAATCACATATCTATGATCAAGGTTCTTAGATGTTACCTGTTAATCCTGAGCGGAAAGTGTGACGTCACGTGTTTGCCATTTCCCATTTCAATACAGTGGATTATAGCGTTACTACTTATTAAAATACGTATATTTTTGTTAAAACAAGATGAACGTCTCTTCTATTTCTGCTAATGGTGGGAAATGGGGAAAATTCCTTATTGTGTGGTGAATTGTGGACTATTTTATCTTCGTTTTTCATCCATCCTTTGGCGCTTAAGGATCTAAATATCTGCCTTAAGCAACCAGAAATTCTCCAGAAACTCCTAAACCCAAAACTTCCTGAGGAGTTGTTTGTAGTGTGTTTATGTGCAAAAATAATTCAAAAAATGCAAAGGAACGTGCAAAGAAACTCTCTTTCAAATTACCTTAAGGTTCAAAAAGAATAGGTAAGAAAATGTTATGGCAAAGATAAGACCAGACGATTTTGAAGATGCGCTGCAGGCTACAATAATGAATACACATCCAAAACGCCTGCTGTTTGCTGCTGCTGTAACCATTGGTGAACAATTTTAGCACCCGTTATTTTGCGCACAGAAACATTTTTTTACCCTAGTTTATAAAGCAAATTATTATTATCATAAACTAATTTTTCATGTAGAAACACACTCTTCGATTTGCATATCATTAATCGCCGCCCGGTATTTTATGAAGTCTGTTTACAATTGAATAGGTACTTATAAGTATATACTTACTTATAAGTATATACATTTTACTATTTACAAACTCATTTATTAGTCTTGTGTCTCGTCTCGAGTGCATATCCCTAACTGAAACTTTTGTTACTGTGGGCGTGCGGTTGGATGTGAGGGAATGTAGATTGCAATATTTTCCTAAATATTTATTAAGCAAGTAAATTATAAAGAGACACCAGCTAATTGTAAACTTACTCAATGCAAACGCTCTGGACGTTTAAAACATGAGAAGAAACCCAAAAAACTACGAGCACCAAACTATAAATGTCGGCTGATTCAACGTTATAAGATTCAATAATTTAAACTGGCAAGCTTGTGACGTATTCCAGCGCGCTCTCCCATTGGTCCAATCATGTATACTGTAGGAACCGTGAGTTCGGGTTTCGAGTCCGAATCTCGACTCGGATCCACTCGGTCTCGACTGATTCGACAACCGGGTTTGCCAATATTCATGACCCGCATGTAAGCTTTCAAAAATAAATGTAAAATAGATATTTTTCATGTTATTAAATTTAGTTCACTAGTTTTTGTAAGTTTTGAAATAATATGTTAACTAAGTTGTACGACAATTGCACGTTGCTGTATTTCTAGACATATAAAAGATCCGTTCAGATCCGAGACCCGTATTTGGAAAATTTCAAGATCCAGATTCGTCCGGTCTTCTCAAAGATCCGGATCCCTGAGTCCGGTAAGTCCCGACCCGCCCATCACTATCTGTGCATAACCTCAATCAATTGGCATGGTTAGCAAAGAATGAAAAGATGTGCAAACTTTTAACACTTTAGCAGCAAATAACACCAGACAATCTCATTTTTGTGCATAATAACTTTAATAAATCGCTGAAAGTGAAAATAAGTGCTTAATTTGAATGTTTATTAAGGTAAAAAAAGGCAGAACCAAAAATTCGGAGGGACTCAAAGGACACAAGTGCCAGGAACATAATTAATTCTGAACTATGCCTTGTTTTACAAGACAAAATATGAGTTTCTATAAACCAGATCCTAAGGCCATTTGTGTTATGGCTTTGAACTGCAGTGATGGTAAACTGGCACTTGCAAGGTAGTCGCAAATTCATAAATTTTTAAAACAAGTTCTTATATATGTTTCTTGACATTTTTTAGGTCAGACGCTAGTATAGAGATATGGAATTTAAACCATACGCCATTTATGGAAAAATCATTTACTTCGAATCTAGACAACTACAGTGTGGAGGGTTTAACGTGGTGTAGTAGGCGACTTTTTAGTACTGGACACCATGGCTGGCTCGTAGAACTGGATTTGTTCACACTTACTATGAAAGACAAGTGGTCCATTACAGGAGAAGCAGGCACCTGCTTGGACTCCCGCAATTCACAGATAGTGGTGGGAACAGAACAAGGTTATTTGAACATATTTCAAGTTACCGGTACCGATACCCAATTTGAGAAGTTTCTGGATAAGCAGGAAGGACGAATTGTTTGCGTCAAATTGAATCCGACCGGAGAATTTGTAGTCGCAGGCAGTTTAAATGCCATCAGAATCTGGAGTGTGAAAACGGGACATGCTCTGCATAAAATGGTTTTAAGTAGAGCAGAGGCAAACAAAAACACTATTGTTTGGTGCTTGGAAGTTTTATCCGATTTCACTATTGTGAGGTGATTATTAATTTTTATATGCGTTACTTTAAAGGTCCAGTAGTGTTAAAAACATTATTTTAGTCCGACAAACGTTTTGTTGTTTAAATTGTGTAAAATATTCAAAGGTTTGTCAAATAATCAATTTTGTTTCAGTGGCGACTCTAGAGGAGTTGTTACTTTTTGGGACGGCAAACTCGGTGCCCAACTAGAGAGCTACCACTCACAAAATTCAGATATTAGAGCAATCTGCATAAATGAAAATGAAGATTCATTGTACTGTTCTGGTATCAATCAGTTGATTTGCAATTACGAAAAAGTTAAAGTTGGTATGCATCAAATCACTTATTGTCGAGACTTCTGTTTAATTTCAATCTTAGGTTCCAGTATTAAGTGGGTGAAATCTGTCGTAAGAAAAATTGACGAACATGATGTCAGAGCAATGGCTGTCTACCACAAAAAACTGTATTCCGCAGGAACAAGTGGCGATTTGGTTTGCAGTTACCATCCACCGAAAACGGTGGTAAAATATGCACATATTCCATACGTACAAACTGCTTCAGATGGATGCCCACTTATTCTACTAAGGTGAGCACACCATTATCATTTGAAGCTTACAAATTCTTTCGAGTATCTGGCGTCAACATTTAGAGTTGTTGGAAACATAATTGTTTCCCTATTATGAATTATTAACCAATGCGTTTATTATGTCCACATAAAACCATTTTAAGTATGTTCCCGTCTCAACCAGTGAGAACCAATTACACATTTCATTCGCATAAAATAAATGTCGGAAGTACAATGAGGCGAAATTTAAACACCCTGTTTGACTTTTTTTTATTATTACTTTAGCTTTTTAAAGTCTATAAATACACTCCTAAACGAGAATTGTTACATACATTACATAAACATAGTACAGGAATTTGAATGAAATTAAAAATTCTAAATTTACATTTTCAAAAAATGCTACAAATTTCTCAATACAAACTATGCAAGGTACAGTGTGAGTCAATAAGCTCACGTTCTATTTCGGATTCATTACTTGTAGGTTCAGAGTGTAATAAAATCAAGATCGGTGGTATTTACGGAAAGCATGTCTAAGATGTTTGGAAACAATCACATTCACCAAGTTTTCCACTTTTTCTCGTGTAAGAAATTTCGTAGGATTTGTCGCTCTCTATGTGACATATCAAAATGTATTTTATACTTTTTTACATTAAAAATCTTATTGACCCCAATTTTTACAATAATAATGGGTCACTTTTTAGAATCCTTTCAACATATATTTTTCTCTAAAATAATTTACTTTTTGATTCTTTTAAACTGCCATCATGCTTATTACGGATATCCAAGAAATTCATATGCGACAGGCGATCAAATACTGCGCAACAATTTGTAAATGGATTATAAATTTCTAGTCGCCTGACTTTAAGGAAAAAGTGATTGTATTTTTTACAAAGAAATACATTTTAGTTGTTACAAATTATAATCACTGCCATGTCGGCAAGGCAAGCTAAGGCCGGGACACATTTCTCTATTCCGACCCCTCGATCGTACACTCGGGCGAAGATCTGAGAGATAAATGGTATTAGAAGCTGTGGTATTAGACTTTGAACGCCGTAGTTCACATCTTCCCGCTGCCCGCGTGATCCATCTCCGTTTTTGTATCCGACCATGTTCCGATTATGGTGCCTACCTATTGCGGGAACAGAAAACGGTCCTTAGTTTAGGTTACGTCAGTAATACAGGTTTTGGTGTTTTGGTTTTAATGCAAATGAAAAACGTGAGCTTAATGCTAAGCTTAATTAATTAATCTGAGAAGCTGATTGAAGAAGCGAGGAAATATTCGGTACTGCATGATCAGGCCAGAGAGCACTATTGATTTTTGAAAACACGTCTTTCTTTCCACATTTTTCTGCAGTTTTTTCTCAATAGTCTAAAGACTAACCGCCAACATGGACATTCTAAAACATTGATAAAATTTTGATTTCAATTTCTTCAAAATGCTACTAAGATTTTCTTGTGAGTCTCTCATCTACAATTTGGACACAATTAATTGGGTATAAGCAATTGTGCATCGCAACTTGTATTGCAATTCATATATTTACAAAAAGAATGTTGGAAAACTGTTATGCTTAAAGAAAGGAAAATATGCTTAGAGTGTAAAAATAGGAAATAACTTTACAATATTTGATATAGTAAAGTAATTTACTAGTAATTTTTATTTTGTCTGTGGCTCTTCCAAATTTTCAAATATTTGAATAATGTACACTGGGTTAAATAAATAAATAAAATTCTGAAAATCATACTTAAAGCAATATTCATTATTTTACTTGTTATTCGCATGGATGCATCGCATCTCTTCGATGGTATAGTTAAATATCACAGCTTTGGTTGAAATTATCTTCATTTCGACCCATTCTTATTTTTATTTCATATTTATTTGATATTGTAAAGTTTGTTTGTTCTAGATATTCAAAACATATTGAGATATGGTCTTTCTCATGTTCGAGAAAAAATGATTCTGAGCACCAAACCCCACGGTGCCCAGAGGGTGTGGATCCACAGGATAGACCAAGAAAGTTGGTTAAAATTCAGAAAGTAACCAAAAATTCTGAAAATATAAATGAGGTAGAAGGAATTATATGTTCCTGTATATCTGACGACGGAAAATGGATATTTCTTGCGACCAATTCAGGCTTTCGTCTGTATGCCCTCCGAGTGGTATGTTTTACATTCATTCTAAAACATTGATAACATTTGTCTTGAAAAATACTCTTTTCGACCTGCAACTCTTATGACTTTCAAGCTTGTCAACTGAATTCAAGGTTGCAAAATACGCTTTTTAGACAAAATCACTCGCTATAGAAAGAATTTTTAATTATCCAAATCGGGCCCGTATTAACAAAGTTATTAATTTATTCATACCGAAGGATCTGATTATAATAACAGCATAATATTCATAATATGGGTGTCATTCGCGTTTGTGTTTGCCATTATCCAAAATAGTTATATTTATTTGCTTAAATTATCTGTGAAATTCGAAAACATATCATTAGTCAACATAAACTCATCACAAACGGGGAGTGTCATGACCCCCATGAACGTTCTAGCAGTTTTCATCAGTTCCTGAGAAACGCGCAAAAAGGTGTAAAACATGAAATTTTGTCATAATCTTGCATTTAAATGTGTTATATTAAAATTCAGCATTTTGTGTGAAAACTACCACTATTTTTTCACTCACATTCTACTAGCCGAATCGGGTTTCCAATTTTCTCGTGAAAGTGGTAGGAAAGCACGCTTTGTAGCTTAAGTGGCTCTTGAGATACGACGAAAAAAGCGGCGTTATGTGTGGGACCAATGTGCAATATAATAGAAAAACCAAGCAATTCTATACATTTTTGCGAAAACTACCAATATTTAACCGATGCTTCCTTGTATGATCACCGATCGAAGAATTTTTCAATGTTTTTTATAAATTTTCGATTAGCAATCAACGTTTCACATACGCGTATTTTGAACTCAGTGAATTCCTTTCGTCCTAAGACGCTCCCAATGTTTAAAAGCCAATTTTAATTTATTATTTTATGGATGTTTTTAGGTTGATTCACATCCAAAGTTACAAAAAATTAATGATTTGGATGATAGCAATATTGCCTGTGTTAAAGCGGCATTTAACAGTAAAAACAATCATCTTATTGTAGCTTTAAGTAATGGTAATCTAGTTGTATATGACCTGGAAGATGGAGACCCTTTTATTAGTCAAAGACTTGAATGCTTCAAAGGTGAGAGTCGCTAGAGTGATTTTTGAATATATTTCATTTGTTTATATTTTAGTGCACTTGACAGACACAGTAAGTCTACTAGAGGTGTCTAGTTGTGGCAAATATTTAGCTGTTGCTGATGCGGAAAGCAACATAGTAACGTTTACTTACACATCAGATGGGTATTCGCGACACTTAAAGTTGCCGAAAACCACCATTCCACCTACGGCATTGCATTTCCAGAAACATATTCTAAAAGTTTCTTATGCTAATAATGTGGTAAGTGGTTCAATATATTTTGAAATTTAACCAATATCACTACGTCCATGTATTTTCAGGTTTATGAATTCAATATAAAAAGTAATGAATGGACTGAGTTATGCACTGCTCGGAAGAAGCCGGTAAGTTTACAGAAGGAAATACATTGCATTAGAGCATTTGCTTCGATTTTCGTGGAAAGACATTTTTCTGTTATATTCTACACTCAGTTTGGAATCTGTAAAACAGGTCCTCGTTTTGTCACGGGATATTACTAAAACTTCCTTGAATGAATACTCCTAATTGCTTTTGCAGATTATGATTGCATACTTAGTGGTAACCAAAGAATGGTTTATTATCACAATTTTGGTTAGTCTAACACTGTTTTTAGTACTCCATATTGTGTGTGGTGGATATATGCGTTTCAATGCGCACGATCATTACAAGAGTTTCACATCACTTCTTGAACAAGAAATACATTTGGAAGCTTTTTTGAAGTATTTACCTGAAATGACCTGAAGAAGGGTAATTTTCTGTATTGCTCCTTTTATCACGAGCGGCTCAAAAAGCGGGATTGTTCACATCGTTGCATTGTATTTATGATAAAAATGCTTATGAAAATGGTCTTTATACACAAAGGCATAATTGCTATATGTATATGATGAAACACTCCTTAGGTGGCTCATCGTAACATTGGATACTTGATTACTTTGTTGGATAATTATCTGATTTAACAACTATACCCAAAAGTTTTAAGTGTTGAAGGATTTTTCACAAAGTGTGTTCCAATAACAACTCCGTTTTTGATTGCTGCACTATTTATATGATGAGGATATGACATGAAAAAATCACCATTTGTTAGTAGATAGCGGTTAATTATTTATGAACAATCTATATTTGATTTTAATTTTTGACCTGAAAAAAAACTCCCCTTAACAATGTTTGATAACGAAAGAAAATGGACCGGCCATTTTAAATTACTCTATAACCGTAATAAGCAAATAAATTTAAAAAATAAAAGAAGTAAACAGTGAGCGATGTCATTTCTTATGTTTAACACACGTTATTGTACTTTCAATGCACTTCTAATTTTCATAATCATCCAGCTTCTCGTGTCCACTGATGGACATGTCTCCTCCATACGCCTCCAATAATTTTTATGTTGCCCAAGTTGCATCCAGTTGTGTTCTATTCTCCGTATATCGTCTGACATCACTTATATCTTCCCTTACTGCATGATTTTTTGTTTTGCTTGAAATAAATCTCATCAACAGACTTTGCCATATGAAACATGAAATTTTTTTTTTTAATCTGAGTTGGAGTTTAGGAAAAAAACGACATTTTTAAGATGTCCCATATTTGGAACAATTTTGATTTATGAACAAATAAACTTTTTGAAATTAAAATATTTTTTATTGTGAATGAAATACAAAATTACATTCAACAACATACATGCAGTAACAAGAACATATACATGCAAATTGATGAAGTATGTAATAGAAAGTACATTTTTAATGAAAAGAATGAACTTAGTCAGTATGAAATGCATTGAAATTTTTGTTTAGACACAAAAACACACTATACTTTCCGCAAGAAACCATCGACTTTCCTTTACAGTCCGGATCTTTACAACGTTGCCTCTCATCATTCCACGTAGGCAGATGTCCTAAGTTATCTTTCATCAGGTCTTGTGATGGTATTTCCTTCAGGTTCAGCTGCGTTTGGAAAGAATTGCTTGGACGACCGCTTTTCCTTTGAGGTGGAATATTAGATTTTGTCAATACTTCGGCAATAGCCAGTCTAAATTCCGAAAGGGGAAAATACATGTCGTCCTCACATGAGTGTCTCCATAGTATCGAACTATTCGCGCAGATCATATCCAGAAAATGGTAAAGTACTCGTTTATACCATTTTTTGGATCTAATCTTTATACAATAGAATCCTAACATGGAATCAATTAAGTCGACTCCATCCATGTACGATTTATAAACTGAACTGAATAGCGCCCCATACACGAAAATATCTGTCATATCTGATACGTGGCAAGCCAAATTCCAACAGATATCGGTGCGTTAATGGTTAACCACGAGCCAGATACGACTCGATGCGAATTTCGTACAAAATAAATCTGCAGATCTGGACTTGCGGACCAAACTTCGCCGTTAGTGGGTACGAACGAATACAGAAATTATTGCCGCCTATGCAGTCATGCTATGCCATACTTCCGCGGCTTAAAGAAAATACATATTCAGATAAAATTTAACGGTTGACATTGGTACAGATTTGAGATATAGTGTATAATGTTATAATTCAAACATCGGGCAAGAGGTGATGATGAGCAAAATTTGGGCATAGAAATCTTGGAAGATGATGAGATAGTAGCTAATGTCACAGGAGAAAATCACTACTTCGATTACGAAGACGAAGCTATT